TGACTCATTGGCTACATGAAAAAGAGAAGACATTCAGCGAAGAGACTCTTTTCGGCGAATTCATTCACATAGCTGTACAATCGCATTTATATATAAATATTTGTGTGTGTGTGTGTGTACATGAGGTTTGTCAAGTTTAGATAATTGATTAGTTAATACAAGAATGATGTAGTATAGAGACAAAGTTAATCAGACAGCAACTAAAGTAAGACTGAGTTAAAAAAAACAACTAGATGACGTAATATAATTGGCTAAAATGTTACAACTTAGGTCAGGATAGCAACAGAGGTAATTACAGGTAGAGATTAAGTAGAAGTGAAATTGAGTGAATAAGTTGGATGACGTAACATGAATGACTAGAAACTGAGCGTTGTTCAGGTCAGTAACAGTGGTAGTGGGGTGTAGAGATTGAATCGGGTGGGGGTAGAGAACAAGAAAGTTGAAATTGTAAAATGTTACAATTGAGAAAGCAAAATAATACTAATGAAGAGACAGAAGAAAAGATTAGGTAGAATTTACATGTCGGCTAATAAGATGAATGAATTCGCCGAAAAGAGTCTCTTCGCTGAATGTCTTCTCTTTTTCATATGACTCAATGGGGATTTTCAATCTACTCATTGGCTACACTCATCCACCGCCGGGGCTCGAAACCAAGGCCTTTCAATAATCAGACAAGCTCTTATAATATTCAGCCACTGAGACCCGATTCAATTCGTGCTTTAGCGCGACTGTCATCAGACAATGTCATCGATTGAAGCATCATTCTCACTCGCGACTGGATGGATGTCGCTAGTCATGACTTCTCACTGGAACTCCAGTCAACTTCGTCCTTCAGCCAGTCACTGGCCGACATCAGAATAATTTTCAAGCGTTGTCAAAAGCAACAAGTAAATTGAAGATTTTAGATTGACTTCTAGTTAGGTCACGGATTGGTATCATTTACAGAGTCATTGTTAAACAAGCAGTACTGGAAAACTGTCTAGTGCAGTCCTGTGGCTTTTCACCAGTTCAAATTCATGAACGTTCATGGAATTGAAAGGAGGAATACTGGCTGATTATCAAAGGAGGCGTATTGTTGAGCAGTACCAAACAAGAGTGAACCAACTGTTCAGTGGTCCAACATTTTCAACTTTTCTACAAATGACATCAATTCATAGTCCTTATTTTAACAATTAAAATGTTTCGAAATGCAAGTTGCTCCACTTGAAATTCAGTGACCTCTGAATTCTGACTGTGTCCAGTCTGGATATAGCGCTGACGTCACCAGTAGCTTCGAATCGCGTCCACTCCCCATTGATCCCACTATTGTTACGAAACCGCATCGCAGCACTCACGAAATCCATTCAGTAGCCATCGATCAGCTGTCGATTGATATTCACATTAGAGGATTTGTTGTAACTTCTTAATCATTTCATATGTAGAATTTTAGTCACCGACCGAATACTTCATGGTTGTATTCCCTATTGATATATGCTGTAACTAAGATGAGAAGCCCTCCTCAGTTGATCGAATGACGAGAACGACTTTGTAAACATATGGAGCCATGGAAATCTGTATCATATTTAGTATGAACCCCTGCCGAGTAAACACTTGTAAGCTCACACTACATCTGAAAATTGTTCACATTTCACATACATCAAGACATGATGATTAACAATGGAATCAAGAAGACACGCTTTATCTTTAACCGCAATTCGTCAGGTGGATGTAATTGACAGTTACTGTGAGTGATCAATTTTCTCATAATAACACGAACCGAGCATCCCTCGTTTTACACGCCAGAGTGCTATACACTTGTCAACTTGGACAACATAACCCACCATCTGTGCAATGGATAGCAGCAATTGTTATGTAATTTCCGTTGATTGATTATATTGTACCACAGTGTTTAGTCTGTGTTGACCTTTCGAAATGTTTATTCTAGATCTCAGCGTTAGTCACCATCCAATAAAGAAGATAAAAGTGAATACTTCGTAAACTATGATGAATTTATATTGAGCTTCGAACTTCTTGTGGAGGTTGGATACATTTTTCGTGGTAGTGTTGCTAGCAACCCCACCTAAACCCTCCCTCCTCTCCTGAGATGACTAGTGAACTCGTAAACTAAGTGGGTAAATCGTATGCACAGGAGATGAAGGCCCATGAACAATTGTGTAGCCAGCTGAAGAGGGCTGAAAAGAAGTGAAACTGGGAGATATGTACTGTTGCCGCCCTAATAACAAAAATATAATATTAAACCATAACATTTTCTGCTAGGGAGAAGCAACAGGTTGACGATAGAAGAAGCATCGAAGCCAGGAAAGACTTCCTTCGGGTGAACATCGAGAAAACAGAGGTGATGCAGACTTCTGGCTAACAGCAACAACAACAGACAACAATCAGTCAGCACAAATAGGAGTAGTCTGAAAGGAGCAATCTCCTTCACCTAACTACCAACCTACCTACCTAGGAATCACTCTATGAACTACAGGTGGGTGAAATCGATGAGGATATCAAAGCTGCAAGGATCAGGAAAGCAAGGCAAGCTTTCATTTCTGTCGCTATGCCACATATGTGAAAATATTGAGTCGAAGAGAATAAACATTGGGCCACTTACAGATTATTCGAGAGAACTCCTGCTGTGAGGCCCAATAAATGTCTTATTTTCTTCCACAATGAAATGTTGACACGTGTTCACATGACTGATTGGTTTCGTGGAGAAAATGAAATTGAAAGTTCAGCCGCGAGAACTGTAACATTAGCCACAACAACGAAATCAAAAACATGTCAAGTAATTGCTTGTGTATGGTGCATAGAACTAGCACGGCCATCAAGAAAAGCATTTCCAATAGATTTCAGAATTCTTGAAGAGATAGGCGATATCATTTTGTGCTCAAGATATGTTTGCATCTGAGTGAAAGTATGTTTCTATCGAGCCAATCGAGCCAAGAGTGTCATTTGGCTTGTATGCTTGTTTGCATACATTCAGCAAACGACTTAAATAGCAATTCTGAGCAGATAGTGTTGAATGATTCAATGGCGTGGACTGAGAATTCTGTTGAGTGAGGTAGAGCAGACTCTGAATGTGATCTATCCGAAATCCATTGTTCATTCCTTTTCCATCTCTCCTCTGTCGTTCTTTCTCTGACGTTGGAATTTGTTCTACTTAGAACTAGTAGGCAGTATCAGTTGTGTTTGTTAATTCCAAATGATGACTTCGTTGGCTATCCAAATCTTGCTCACTTATTAAATTTATGCTCAATTTGATATACAGTAATGAATTTCCTTTAGTTAAAGATTATCTGCCATTCATGCCTCATTGATGTATTCGTCACTGTTGAACATTGTTTATTCGTATCCCAGTCCTCTGTGTCTGGCATTCGCACACTGTTTAAGTCTACACGTGAGTCACCTTTGACACAGCTTTGCTGTTTTATCTGATTGACGCACATTGACTGTGCTTTTGACTGCATTCAGACACAGAACCCCACAATTGAGTTTTGTTTATCATATTTCATACTTTATGTTGAATACAGTACCGTATATCAGACAAATTCCATGATTCAGCTTCTCACGTGTCACTCAATGTGTGGTTTCATTATTCGATGGATTATTGTCTCAAATTTCTTCGGCAGGTGAAGTGGAAATGGAATCCTGAAAGGCAGTCACAGGGCGTGCTGAAATTTCAGCAGAGAAGGCTGTGGAACAGGATTGACCTCATGAACTTCAATACTATACTCAACATGCAAGGAGTGAGTAGTAATAATATTGATATCAGTAGAGTTGAGAGTTGTGCAGTTGAATGGACCTAATCCTTTGTGGATAACACAAGTGAATATGATGAATGTCGTTAGAGATGTCTGATACGACTGAATCGGAATATGAACAAGAAGATCATGAAACGTCGTGCGTTAATTGTATACGAGTGAGGTTGTGTAATGGTCTGAAACATGAAGTGTAGCTTACAATCAATGTCATATGTGACAGGGACTGATTAATCAAGCGCATTTCACATTGAAGCCAATAGTTTTGTTCTCATATTAACTCCCTGCTTCATATAATTCTGAACGTCTTCCTCTTGTTAAAGATTAAGGTAGATAAGTGACAGGGGTATCACTGCCCAATATGTAGAACCCTATTGACACATATCCTTTGAAATAGTCTCTATTCCTCAGTAGGTAGAATCACATTTCTGCAAGTAATGATGGTATGGTCATCAAACTGAGATTCTATCTGAGATTCTTTCATTATTGCTCAGCGCCACACGCGAGAACTGTGTTCACCAAAGCGAACATAATATCTGATACTGAGGGTATGACAGAATTCCCGCGAGTACGCACGTAGAAGCGTTGAGACTGGACGAGAATGCTGAAAACGCGATGTGGAATGACTTGAGATTACACGTTTTATTTATACGTAAGATGTCGGCATAATGGTAGAGTTCTCGCCGACCATGCAAGTGTTTCAGGGTTTGCTCCCTGACGGACGCACCACTTCACCTCGCCAAGACAGTAGTGAGACTGGTAAAGGGGGAATGTTTAGCTTGAGGCTAGCGACCCCATCCTGGAAAAATAATCTTCACCGCTACAGAAAGTTCAAGCTTCTAGCTCAAAGCCCTTTGTTCCACTATGAAATAAGAGGAATGAAAAATATTTCTGCACGTCAGAGATCCACTCATGAGCTGATTTCAGCATTGGAAAAACCAGCAGGGAGCACTGGATGGCTGATACTTCCTAGTTTGTCACTTTAGGGATGGAATCAGCCACAGAGGGCAACCACATCATCTTCTGGTTACAAGACGAGCTCACTATCCATTCACTCACTGAGTTGGAACACCGGTGATGGCATAGTAGGTGAAAGCAGTCACCTGGTAATTTTTGCAGCTTTCTAAATATTCTCCAACCCATACCGGCTGGTGAGCGGCCCTGTAATCAACCAATTCCCGTTAAGCTAGCACTCAATAACACATTCTCACCGCAAAACATCTGCTCAAAAAAAAACTCACCGTTTATAAAACTGAGACACGCACACATTTATTTCTAATAAAATTCAGTTACAAAAGCAGAGAGAAAAGTATTTTCGCCAACATTTCTGTCGAAGAGAGAGTTACTAAGTTAAGAGTTAAATAATAATCGCGAATGCACCACCAGTGTGCTCATCCATTGCTGGCAGACGATGTTTATCTGAAAAATGACAAGAATCACACACCAGTTGGATCAATTAACACACATATGTTCGTCCATTTTTATGAACAAATCAGTACCAGAATCAACACCAAACGAATAACTAAGTAACCGGTTATCCGACTCAATAAGTAAATGACTAATTTGACCATGGTATCTATGTCATCTGAACCTCAAGATGCTGTCAGGACGCTGAATGAAGACATGGAGTTGTTGCTTAAATGATGTCACTTACATTCAGTGCAAAATTATACAATATTGCTTCCCGTATACGGTGACTGTCTGACGCTGACCCTTATCGAAATGTGCAACAACTCAGTGGAGTATGAATTGAGAGTTCCGAGTTTCATACCACTCCATAAATAACACATTCGCATCGATACGTCAACTGACTCTCATCAGAAGCCAAAGGTTGTTCTTCATCTGTGTGAGAGGTAATCTCACTCATCTGACCACTACAATGCGCACTTACCACAGTCCATCTACTCTCATGCAGCAGAGTATACAAGGCTCTCGAAGACAATGCCTTCCACATGGAGAGCAGTGTAGAACAGGGCGCATTGCAGCTTGACTTTACATCAAGAAGAGTAGGTGTTTGTGAAGCTCATTATTCTAGAACACCTGATCAACCTCTGTCACTCTACCAACCACGATCATGACTTTGAGATAATATAAGGAATTCATGCTACAAACCACCGTTCATGAATTGAAACTAGACGTTATGGGAGTTGATAAAGCAAACATGGTGAGGGAGTGAGACAAGACTGCCACTTGATGCAACCACACAAATGTGTCATTCAGGAAACACTCATGACCAACTTGAAGTTTAGACCTCATTCCATCAAGAATGCTGTCGAGTAATTGACAACTGAAATGCTCCATTATCTTTCCAACATATCCAAGTCATTCACTGCAACTTCATGCAGAATATTCCTCTCTGTTATCAGGTGAGGGATATGCAACGAACGTCATGAAATGTTCATGAATCAATTCCGCGATGAATATATAAATGAATGAATGAATGCATTTCACAATGAAGACAGATTAAACAGAAGGAACGTACTTTGCTGGTGTGTGAAACTCCGCATTCACTGTGTCTATTAAGACTTTCGCTCTTTCCCCTGGACAAAGCACTAAAGGTTTGAAACCGTTATGATTTCAGATTGACTTACTTTGCAAATAATTAAGTCGTTCACGCTCCACCTCTTCTATTTTGTTGACAAGTTCATCTGACAGGAAATGAAAATAAATTTCTGAATAATAAAGTGGTATCGAAGTCACTGAGATACAAAATTGACAGAATGTTTGACGCTGTGACTGCAGAGGAAACATGTTGTTTCATATGATGGCGAGCTGAATCGCAATCATCAGTTCAGCCTAAACCTATTTGCCTAAAGTGGAGAAGAAGATGAGATGGAAACTGACGTTCTCCCGCTATTATAATTCAGGAAGCTTGACTGAAATTCCTGACGACACGAATCATGTGTCATTGATTCGAATGGTTATTACGATTCCCTGACAATCACATTTCTTTCAAATGACTGACGAAAATTGATCTCCAAGTTTCAGTGTTTCATGAAAGCCATGACACATAATCATTTGGGGCAATTCAGAGTCATGTCAACTCTTCCGTTTAGTCTGATATACTCAAGAACACGTACATTACACACAAACGGTCAAGATTTCCCTCAAATTTACGTGAAATCACTACAAAACTGCCGAAATTTCACGCCTACACCTCGAAATCTATCCAAAATTCACTGCGTGGAGCTGACAAAACACACTCAATTCCTGCACAGCATTTCCATGTCGCTCAACGTATGCGCTCGTCACAGAAATCGGCAATTTCTTGCGCATTTCGTTACAACCTGTACTGGCTGATGTGGACACATGGTAGATGAATTTATTGTGAAAGTAACAGAAATATGCAAATTAATAAATATCGAACATTAGAATTTAGCATAAAATCAAAAAGCAAATCCAAAATAATTTACTCATATAAAACTTCAAAATGGCTTCATTCAGCTCGTATTTAATGTTTGATTCTGTAAGATTCAAAAAGAGAATTGTCATTGAATTTGGCAGTGTAGTTGATGATGCGTATAAAACACGTCAGGATTTTCAATGACATCGGTCAGGTCATAAGACACGATTATACTGAACACTTGTCCTCGAGTCAGGAACACTCGTCATGAATTCACATTGTCACAAATCAATTGCATTGATTGCAAATGGGACTAAAAGATATTACGAAACTTCCAAAGAAATCCAACGAATTATTCCCTTATCCCAGAGATCCAGTGTACCATTTGTCAGTGCCTCCAACTGATATCAAAGCGTGATGAAACTTGAAACTAATCAAGTCTCTACGAAGTAACTCACGAGAATAATCTGACATTCATCAGTGACTGGCTCTATACAGGACGAAGTGACGTGTAGTTCCAGTGATAGGTAATGAACACTGAGATCTATGACGTCGGGTGTGGAGAATAATACACGCGAATGACAGTGGTCGGTGGTCAACCTGTGGTGAGAGCTTTCTACTAGCCATTTGGTTGACAGTAATTGAGGTCAATGTTTATGTATCAAGTATTAGTCATGTTGTGGTGAGAGATGGTTGCTAGCCAAATTGGTTGACAGTAATTGGGGTCAAAGGTCAAGATGGACAGGCGGATACAGTTAACATGTAGATGAACTGACACAGCCACAAGAGATGCAAGGTTAACTTTGTGTGAGAAACAACCAATCAACAGACTGTATTTTCTACTAACATTAACCTACAATAATGTACATCAAAATCTATAAATACGTGTTGATTTTCTGTAATAAAGGTTCTGTTGCCTGGCCCTTGTCTCTTGTTTTTACAAAACTACAATCAGAAATCGTTATACTTGTCACTGCATCAGGTCCGGTGATTGATTGATCTATCAGCACGTATTGTAACCAGCAGTTCTTGGATTCAAACCTCGTTTAGTGAGTGCCTGTGTAATCACTTCTCATCAAAACCGTTTCTTGAGGCTGAATGAAGAATCACGTTTAAGACAAAACATCTGTTGTCCAGTACTCCATGGTATTCAATGCTAGTCCGATTCATATTGCAACACGAGATTATAAGGCAATTGTGAACGGACCATCCTAGCAAGAGAAAACACCTGATATCTGAACAGTGTTAGCCACATTAAATCTCGGCTAGCTCACAGGAGAATGAATGTTTCTGACTGGTTGACGATTTACCCAAGGCTAAACACGTCTCGCGACGAGGTTATTTCATGTCGTCAAAGTGATGGAATTCCAGATTCGGTGAATAAACGATTCTATCTCCATGGCAGCCACTCTCTCGAAATGTTGATTCCAGTGCCGGCCACTTCCTGTCAATCTGCGTCACGTCACCACAGCATTTCAATGATCAGACTCGAATCAAATCAAAATCCTGCAAGCCACTTCTTGGAGATGGCATACTGCACTCATCAAGTGATAAGACAATTCCGATATTGATGAATGAAATACTACGAAAGACAGTTGAGTGGACATGTGATCTACTGATGTGCTAATCGAAGTGCCTCGCATTCTGAAATATGTCCTTCATGATACCGGTAATATCGTCGAGTATTAGCGATCCATTGAATTTATCATTGAGGGCAGTTCATAGCAGTCGAATGGTTACTAACTATGATAATCCTTCAGAATATTGTTTTCATACACACTCATTACATTCTACTTACTTCCTTCATTGATGTATGCTTCACCTGTTTCATAAAGCTTCACAAAGACAAACTCTGAAAAATTATACAGTGAATTGTGATCATTGACTGTTAGGGGTCAAAAGAAGTTTACAAAGAATAAAATATGCCTTTGAACAGAAAATAAATGGTCTATTCATTTCTCGTCTCAATCCTTCTCACTGACTTCTAGATGTCCAAGGATTAGTCTCTACACACTCAACTTACAATGCAGTTCATCGAATTGTGGTTAGATGATCGGGGTTAGTCGGCAGGAAGCTGCGGATATACGTTTCGTAATCCGTCAATTCGCCTCGTTGTGTGTGGTCGATCAAGTACCGTGCGGCTAGCAATGCAAGTTGTCATTGAATAACACCGCCGTTTGACAAGTTTTCTTCGTGATCACCGATTCTTTTGGGATATCGTATGTCCTTGTCATTCCAAATATCACCTAATATTGATCCCGTGCATCATGATGGCGATTCACCCAACCTATGGTGTGGACACATTTCAAATATTGACTGATGTTAAAATGCAGTCTGCAACAACCTGAGGACTAGACGCATCACATCGGCTACAGCTTAATGACCGACCGAATCATCCTTTTGTGGTCTTCACGATTTTTGCACTAGTAACGCTGATTGACGCAAAGTGATGATTCGTCATTTCAGACTTCATTGACACATCCTGATTGCCTCGTTCTCTGCTTCGTTCATTGAAAGTAGCACTCTCAACCATATGTTGGCAAATTAGCAGATATAATGTTATATATATGCAGTCAGCCTGATAAATCGCTTGTCTGGATGTACCCTGAGATTAGTTAAACCTTGCTACTTTGCATCATGAACTGGTCATCCGGTCTGTCAAAGGTTTGACTGGCTCAAACCAGAAGTAAATTGACATTTGCAGACATTCAATCACACTAACTACAAAATAATGTCCACATGAACTACACGATTTGTTTGGTTGAGCAACTTCTGCATCATGTTATAACAGATTGTTTGCCACATAATGTACCATACCACATCAGAAATTAGATATGCATATGCGTATACACAAGTAGATTACTGCAACTGCAAACGTACCTTCCAGGTCACGAATTCGCTTCGCCCCAGCGACTAAATTCATTTTCTCTGATGTATTGTCTTCAGGGAGAGAAAAATATCAGCGTTACTGATCAAATTATTGAATGAGTGTGAAAGATTGGGAGTGTAATTATTTTGTAATGCCAATCACTATCAAGGGGAGAAAGTTGAAGGGAGTCAATTCTTCCACTCATCTCAGCAGCATCATTTCCACTACAGATAGTCGGCACGAAAGGGGTTGTCTAAACCAGCTGAGAGATCTCCTACACTCAGAAGAAAGGACGAAATTGTAAATTTCAGCGCCGATGCCAAGATAGTTTGTGAGTCTGTGTGGGTCAGAAACTTGACTATCGCTTCACGAAATGCATTTCTAAGAGGTCACTGAAGATCTTTATCGAAAGCTTCTTTTGCTGTATCCGTAATCAACATAAAGTGGTGGGTTGATCAGAAAGATTTAGCAACAAGAATGTCTGGGAACAAGCCAAGTAGGATGGATTAACCACAGGTTGGAGAAATCGTTGACCGACGCCACTTTCTACTCTACATCTCTTTACATGAAGTGGAGCCTGACTGTTAAACGAAAACTTGAGCGCAACCCTAAGTGTGACATGAGGGATACGATCCGAGGAGGAGAAGACAGGTTATGGGCAGACGTCGGCCAGTCAGCTAAACAGGTGTGCAGAAAAAAGGAACAAATGTGCAGTTGAAGCCCAATCTTCCACTCAGAATCCATAAGAACAGTTATAATGAAAATAACAATCGCACCGAGCTGTTGAGGTGCACTTCCTAATCAGAATATACTGGATATTCACATCATTTCAGATTAATGTCGTGTCATAGGCGAATTTGCAAAGCTCTAAATGGATGGCCACCGTGGAACAGTCAACAGGGGTCAACGTGATAATCATTATCGAGCAAAGTTGTACTGTGGTTGTCAAAACTAAATGACGATAACATTGTGACAGATAAATCATTATCAATGTAATGGCTGCGTGTTATGAGCTGACAATTCATTCTTTTGCAAAATGAAAGAACACCTTGAATGGCTCTTCATTGTGCCTTGTCTAACAGTGTCGTTTCCTCCATCCACATCAGTTCCATACCGCATTCAAGTTGTCGTTTCACATGGAAAATGTTGCAGATAGTGAAAATTGATCCTCGAACACTCACCCTCTTTCTTCAAACACTTTGTCGATGATCTAGGCAGGTAAGCATCTACAAGAAATTTAAGAGAATATACGAGATTTACTTGATGTGCTGGGTACTGTTCAATTTTAGTCGAGTTGCATTGTGTTCACATTCAAGATTAAATAATCGCCGTCAGACATTTACTAGCCTGATACATTGGATTAAAATCCAGCAATGCATATTACCTTCTGCATCCCAATAACGCCTTTTCGGAATACGAATTCGATTATTATCCAAGGCAAAGATGGCTTCTCATGACGAAATCCACCTGTATTATGCTTCTCAGACACCGAGTTGGAGAGTGTTTTGGAGGCACACTAATTAATGGCTCACTGATTGACTTACACAAAAGAGTTGACATTATTTAATTTCTGCATGCATGTGACTTGTGAACCTGAAATTAGCCGTGTGTGTGGGATGCCCGTGATGCCGTATACAGTGAGTTTCATTCAACACTTGACTGTTCTATTGATTTACACTAATGAGAAATTCGAAATGACGCATACTTGGGAGAGAAAAGTGTTTCAACTGCTCTACACTCTTACCTTCAGTAGCATATAATCCTGCTCTGACTTTCCATTTATTTTCGATTATATTCAAAAGTATTTTACTTCCTACAAGAGATAGTAGGTGTAAGTGTGTATGCGTCAACAGGTGTTAGTTTATTGTAATTCAATCTGGAAAACTGCTAATTACAGTGACTTGTTGTAAGGAAGCCTTTATATATGTGCAACGTTTACGTGTTGAAATGGAATCCAGCTTGTACAATTCGTCCTTTTATAGACTGGTCAGCTGAATGTACCTGCCTTCTCGACTGAGTGATGGTGGCGAACTTAATGAAACGAACCATGTAGACTGGCTGTCTACTTGACATTCATCAAATAAAAGGAGCATACTTTAGCTGATTTGAGGAAATCCTAATTACTCGCTCCATCCCATTATTCATCTAGCCTCCATGATGTACATATTTGTATGCACTATCAAGGATCCCTCAACTCTGTAATTGTCTCGCAAATAATGTCTGACTACATTCACTCGACACTAGACAGCAAGTAATCTCATACGATTTGTCTTCTCTTTTCGTGCAAACGGAATTCTATCAGTCCAGTTTACAATGTGGCAATCGTGCTGTGTGGCTGAACATTATTGTGTGGATTGCCACCAAATATCTCACATAGACTTGACCACACTTCCAACAGTACAACTTCACATTTGAAATGCTCTTTATCCTTTGCATGCATAGAAACAATGAGTGTGTTCATAAAATCAATATGAATAAGTAGACAAATATACCAGATGAATGTATATTTCAAATTCAGCAGTCAAACACTGGGTCAACGACTTGAACTGCCGCACATATGTACAAAGTTCTATGTCGAAAACAGACAGACACTGTGTGCTAATCACATCCCTGTCAGTGTTATCAGTATGTCACTCACATGTGTCATGTTTGCATCGATGATAGCCAGAAAGTAAGAATTACATTGAATGAAAATTCGGAAATTACCTGCGTGCAGAGGAGCAGATTTATTCAAGCGTTTCTCCACTTCGTACTGATCTACAATCATTAAAATTGTGCATTTACGTAGAAAGATACGTGGTGACATATTCAAGTGCAGGTGTTGGCTTCATGATAAAATCCTGACAAAGTCCCCGCTACTCAACATTCAATGTTTATTATATAGCTGGTTGTGAGTGTAGGCTCAGTGACATCACTGTTGCAACACTGTTCATGAAATATATATCAAAATGAAACTCCCATCCAGGTGTTTACTGAATGGATTCACTGATTCACTACTGAGAGGGAGATTGAGGCAAAGTATGGTAATGAAAAAACATTGATTTTTTGAAGATGCGTCCTTGCATTTGAGTGTTCATCTTTATTCGTGACACTGTAAGTGGAATTGCAATTCACTATGCTCCGTGATAAGAAGGGTCTCATGCGATTAACGTGTAGACTGTAGAGAAGAAGGAGAATAAGAAGAAGGAGACGAAAACCTCGTTTGTGTAAGCCACAGGTTAAGTTAGATGAGTATACACATAGAGAAAATAAATCACCTGCATATCGTTTCCTAGTGTCTTTGTCGATCACCTCGTTCGCCTGGAAAACACGTGAAGCTGCAAACGAAGTTGAAAATTATCGTGAATCTCATGTATGTGAATGAGGAATCAATTGTCAAATCTGTTTCTTATAATACATAGACGTGATGAGAGACCAGCATCCCATGAGTGTGTGTGTAAAAGTGAATCTCACTTTCCGGAAAATGTTTTGCTGACTCTGATCAATATTCTACCAGAAGACCTTCGACTGACACTGAAAGCATCATCGCTAGTGCTGTTTAGTGAACGAACACAATGACTTCATCATTTCTATGTATGCTCACTGAGGGCAATACTATTATGCATTTCTCAACAGACTGATTTGTGCAGACATTAGTGAAACAGTGAGAACGATGACAATGTGAAATGTAGCATAACGCGATGTCAGTTGCCAGTAATGCATGTGTCTATTAAACTCCATTGACGTGGCTAATCATCGCATGCAGTCGGCTCTAAGCAATAAAATTTCGATAGTCAGTAATTTCAGGTATTCAGCCTGCACAGAATGATGTGGTACACGGTGCCGTATCTGCTAACAACTTCCAACTCACTCACTAACTAACTAAATAACTCACTAAGTAATTCACTGACTGACAGGCTGATTCTGACCATATAATACACTCGGTTAAGTTAACATTAACATGGCAAAAGCCCTGCTCAACCAAACAATTAAATGGCAAAAAATAGATTCGTAAATTCCACTTACCTATTAGTTCATTAATCCATTTCAGTCCGTATAAACGATCCAGTCTGTAGCTTTCTAGATTAATAAAAATTAATAATGTTACTGTTAGTTCCTGTCAATTACACCATGTCATCTTGAAAAAAGGAATCATGTTCAAAAATTGAGTGTGATTTATGCTCCAGATGAATTGTTCAGGTTGTAGTTCATTGAGTAGAATCCTCGAAGTAATAAAATACGATCTTATTTATAATCCGGTGCCCATTCATCGTTCTTGCTTCGTACACCTTGAACAGTAGGAAGAATTGTACGAAGTCTTGAATACTCCATGTGAGACGTATATTTGGAAATGATACTCATCCACTTCACGTCAGATCATGACCAACGAGGCAAAATTTAATCCCCAAAATAAAATTCCCTTACACATCAGAAATCTTACCTGATTTCAGCTGTTTGATTACATTCGATGCCGTTTTACGAGCGCGCATTACGTAAACATCAACTATGAGAGGAAGATATGTGAAAGATAAAAATTCAACGTGTATTTGATTGCTGCATTCAACAGCTTACCGCTTTTATCACAACAATGCAAAACACTATTCATGGCCTTCCATAGAAGAAGGCAGTAATCGTGATATTAACTGGACATATATTTCCCGGAAAACATGTACGAATACCAATGCAACTTAGGCAGTACAAATTATGTATATCCGATCATTGGAAATGTCACTGCATTCATTTCTCAGATATGTTGAATGTCATCAATTCTGAGATAAATTTCTTCCATGTATGATGTGATGTTTGCATACATCAGATGCATATTGCTACACACGCCTACTGGAAAATCTACTCACAGACGATCATCTCACTTATCATGTGGACACACACAGATACAGAGACACACCATGTGTGCTTTCGACAAAAGAAGAGCATACTGTTGTTAGATGAGGCAACAATCAATAATGAGTAAGAAATCTTGTTCAAGTGATACAGTGAAGAATAGAATGAGTATGAATCAGCATAAAATGTTAATGCTCACGTTGTTTTGCTTTGACTTCTAATAATGCATCCGTGTATTCTCTTAGGAGAATTTTCATATTGGTAATGCCTTTAACAATAATGAGAATGGACACGAATTAAATGACTTACCTGTAGCATTCAAGGTAGAAGTATGAGCAGCTGGAAAACGAATAAAAATGTTGCACAATTCAGGATTGAATGTCGTCAAGAAGTAATAACTGGTATAGTGATTGGGAGTGTGCATAGATATGTAATAGAAAAGTATATTTATTCAGTACACCAACGAGATGACTTCAGGGAAATCTACTGTTAGTCAACGATTCGCATGTGACAAGCCATAAAAAACATTGAAGACGAGACAAAGTATAGATGTAATACTTGCATGAAGATCCACATGAAACTGCTCTCAGAAGAATCCCTACTTCGCTTGATTGTATTCCAAAATTGTTTGAACAGATCCATCAGAAGAAGCCAGAATGTGATACGCCTCGACGACTATTCATAATCTCAACTCACGTTCCGACAAACTGCAGTTCGCTTGAAATGAAGGAGATTAGACCTGTAGAAAGCTATCTGGTTCGCTGGTATAAACAAGACGCTCAGATATACTGGTTTTAGTAGCTGATCTCAGCCAATACTGAAAAACGAAAGTTGTACCAGTCTGAGAAGTATTTGGAAGCGCTATGGTAGCGTCCATGGAGTTCAGTGATAACGAACCAATAATGGCGATCGTCCTAATACACGCATTAAACAGTAGTATTGATCCCCAGTTTCCACTCCTTCGTCTGACTTTGTGTGCTGCTGACAATGTGTCAACTTGAATTGCCATGCAGATACAAAACAGTGAGTCAGTGTGTACGCTTATGAAGCCATGCAACTCATACATGTCTATACATCTGCTCAAAAGTATGCCATGAATGAGATGTGTGAGTGGAAGGCGAATTATAAAATGCAAGTAGGTCACTGACATTTACTCACTGAATTATAAATGCCATACACAGAGATAAATGTCTCTAAGCTCATCACGACTTCATATCAACGTCCTCAATTGTCTTCAACACTTTACACGAAATCCACCTTCACTTCATTCGGTGGTGAAATCATATCGAGGTCTGTTGACTCACGCCAAACAGACCTCCTGAATTCGTCTCACACTCTTCATTTAAAATCAAATCAAACCAATTTTCAAAGAAATATGTAGCCACAAAATAACAATCGCGTTCATCAACTCACCGAAGCAGCTCAACAAATAGTTCAGCAACAGGAAGGTAACAGGGACGAAGAATGTCATCTTCACTAAGAGCACCAACTGAATGACTGAATAATGTTTGAGCATCCACCGTATATATACGGTATTTTGTGTGTGTGAGGAGGGGGGAATAGTGGCACTACATCAACTGACCTGAAGTTCACCTCACAGATTTGAATGCACTTTTTTGTTCAGCAAAGAAATACTGTTTTCTCAACGATTTTATTTTCCAGCTAACTGTATAGTCGTATTATTATTACAGAAAGAGAAGGCATTAAGTGGCTGCACTGGAAATTTCTCAGTCAACACTGCACACATGATGATGAGAATAAAGATAATTAAAAGGATGTACTAAGGGCGAGGTAGAGTTGAAGTGGATGAATTACAAAACTCTCAGAGATTATTCAATATGTGAACTGGTGTAAAGATTTGAAAATTTCAGGTCAAGTGTTGTTAAGAAAAATAAGCAGTAAGATAATGATAACAATAAAGATAGATAGTGAATGTGAATTTAATTAGAATGAATTGAGGTGGTAAAATATAAACAGAAATAAAAGAACATTACTATGACCAAAGTGAAGACAGAGGTTTAACAAAACGTTTCTCAATACATAATTTAGGTTTTCGTCCATGTATAGCTGGAGCTTCGACTAAGCATACGTGAAGGAAATGTAAAGAAATTGTTCTTTTCGACTTAGTTATCAACCAGACTGGACACTCGTGTGTTGATAGTAAATGGTTGAGAATGTTTCAGAATCCTTTCTGGTTGAGGGTTGAATAAACATGGTTACAAACAGGGATTAGAATGCAATAATAACAAAATAAACAGAAATTTCGGATAAGAAACACAACTGCATAATCATCCCTATTGAGTGAAATTACTGTTTCCTATGACCGTGTTAAAGACAAAGGTTGGATGCGTTTATATTGGATACAAAGCATTGGCTAAGACTTCAATATTGCTAGTGCATTAGCTATGCTCAGATCCCTTTATCTCACTGCCTTTGAGAGGTGCAATCAGATCTTGAATTTGACTCTATAGAACATTTCAAATGGAGCTGTGTTCATCCAGTGTTCTGTTATCGAGCTACATAAACACACAATTGAATTCTACCACATTCATTTGTTTGCTATGAGTGCACTATTCGATAAGTGTAACCGTAAAAAGAAGTCATTTACAAGATAACACCAGTGGGGCGAGTGCTGCACATCACTCTCCACCTAGTACGAAACAGCAGGCTATCCCATACACGCCCGATTGTCGTTGATTCCTCCACTGATATCAACCCATCCAAAATATGTTTGATTGCTGCATTCGACAGCTTGCCTCTTGTATCACCACAATGCGCTGCACAAATCATGGCCTCCCACGAAACAAGGAGTAGTCGTGATGTTGAATATAGATATATATAGGGCGGCGAACATGTACCAATACCAGTGAAACTTAAGAAATATAAATCCTACATATACGATCATTGTCTGCACTTGAATATGTCAACATGTATCTGTCTACGTGATTGCACAATTTTATTGTTTGTAGATGAGTACGAAGTGAAGAAACTTCTGAATAAATCTACTCCTCTGGACACAGGTAATTACTGAATTTTCATTCAACTGTAATTCTTTCCTTTCGCTGTTGATGCAATTATGAAACATGTGAGTGACATACTGACAACACTGACAAGGATGTGATTAGCACACAGTGCGTTCACTCAGTGTTTGGCCGCTGAACTTGAAATATACATTCATTCGATTATACCGAATCCACTGGTGATTGTCTCGTATATTTGTCTACTTATTCATATTGATTTTATGAACACACTCATTGTTTCTATGCATGCAAAGGATAAAGAGCATTTCAAATGTGAAGTTGCATTGTTTGTAGTCAATGTGAGATATTTGGTGGCAATCCTCACCGTGATGTTCATCCACCCAGCATGATGGCCACACTTCAAACTGGACTGATAGAATTCAGTTTGCAAGAGAAGAGAAGACAAATTGTACGGGATTATTTGCTGTCTAGTGTCTCGTGTAAGTAGTCAGACACTATGTGTCAGATAGTTATCAAGTGGAGGGATTTTCCTAGTGTATATCGCCAGCCTGCTGCGTCATTTCGCCTCTTCGATTCAAACAAAGAACAGGATTGATGTTTTTCGAAGTGTTGTAGTTTTAGAATATTCTCTGTGCGTTGAAGTTTTACTCAACTGGTTTGATGGGTTCAGTGATGTGGGCTTCTTAGTCTCACGTCCATCTCTCCCTCTTTTCCTGGGCTTGAGACTGGCTAGAAAACTAGCGAGCTAGTTAACTAGACAAGGTTTGATTATTCACTTAGTGGGAAGGAATCCAGGGGCCCATGAATTCTAACTTGTTTCATCTCGCTGCTTTTCGTGAGCTTTTTCTATCGTATGCATGGCTGTCACTCCCTGACTACCCACACCGTGGAATTACATGTTTACCTGGGGTAATTAAATTATGACCTTGGTGGCCTGTTCGAATTTTTGGGCCTGCTATTATAATATCTACACATTGCATCCAATCTACTGTTTACTCCTAGTTATTTATCACCTAAATATGAGTGCTAACAGGATCATTTACTCTCGCAACTTTATTAATCATTTACGACCCAATGACTTTCATATTCTCAAGAAATCAAGGAGGAAGTATCGTAGTGGTTGGAAGAGAGCTCTCAAACGTACACCAATACACCTAACTACGGCTCTCTGCCTAACAAGATAATGTACCTGCAATATTTGATGTCCACTGACACTTATCATAATACCGCCATTATCACATTACAAGAAACGTGGTTACATGAACTGTATGATGACAATCTCATCTCACTAAATGACTTTATCCTATTTAGACAAAACCGACACTGTTGTATTGGGAGGAGTGGGGGCGGCGTTGCAACTTTTATTCAATCCAAATGGTCTATTTCTAATAATGTTTGCTTCTCATTCTCAAATGACTTCATAGACTGCATTACCGTCAAATGTCGTCTCAAACATCTCCTCAAATATACATATATCTTTGTTACAAACATGTACATTTCTCCCAGCTGCTCACTATGTGATCTTTCAAATTTTGCTGACGAATTCACGATGTTTGCCGCTGCCAACTTCAACAACTCTCTATCTGTTATTACTGGCTATTAGAACTCCTCAGACTGCTCCCTCCTTGAAGCACTTGGTCACGCAAACATAGTCAAATTTCCCACTCGACTTGACAAAACACTCGATTTAGTTTTACTAATGACGAAGGAGTACATGAAACACGTAAACGTGCACCGATCCTTAACTCTGATCACTGTATTGTTCGTGTTTTACCAAAAAGATACAGCAAAACACATGTTAAAGTCTTCTCACACTTGTCTATGAAAGCACAACAAAGATGCTACTCATCTGACAACTTGCTCAATCTAAGGTGCATGTTAAATAATACTAACTGAGATTTATTCCATGACAGTACATTAGACGACACAATTGCCAATATAACGGATTATCGTAAGTTCTGCCTTGATATATGCGGTCCCAAACAAACACTATTCAAACGCCTCGACCGCTTCTCGTTTCCTTGTCTCAAACAACTTCGCAGGCAAAAAGAAACAGTATACAAATCCAAAGATAAGTTAGGACTCAAAAAGATTATTGCTCAAATCAAATCTGAAATCAAAAATCCTAATGCTACCTACAATGATACACTTTTATCATGCAAATCTACCATCAGCATGTGAAAACTTTTAATGAAATTACTGGCAATAGTAAGCGTTGTAATGCCTTTCCCTCTTATGATGGTAATGCTCTTAATCAGTCTTTTATACGCTGTCCTTCAACTTAAACCACTTCTAATGTTACCAATCATGTAGCTGATACCTTTCATGACTTTATTGCTCTCGATGTACTAAAATGTCTTAAAACGCTCAAGCCCTCACTTAGCCTTGGCCCTGATGGTATACCTGCATATGTTCTAAAACAATGTGCAGATGCTTTATGTTCTCCACTAACTAACATCCTAAATGCTTCTTTCTCCAAAAATGTCGTACCTGTCGCATGGAAAGACATTAAAATAGTCCCTGTCCCTAAACCTGACTGTATCTTTGCCTGTCACATGTCAAAGTGACTGCTCTAAACTTAATGGCTTTCTGTCAGAAATCAGCCAGTGGTCCAGAGGAAAACGGTCTTACCTTAAACCCCTCTAAATTCCAAGCAGTCAGTTTCACCTTTAGGCATAAATCCAACCTAAACAAACTGGTTGGCTCTCACGAGGTGTGCAACATAGATGGCACTGAAATAGAAATAAAGTCGAAAATCAAATACCTAGGCGTCATTCTATCTGCTGATCGTTCCTGGTCGTCTCATATCTTGGCTATTTCGAAGAAAATATTCCGTCTTACCTTCTACATCAAGAAGTTGACCATTCTGGTTTAACCCAACCCTTACTCCTACAACTCGTTAACTCTCGCATTCTTCCAATTATTCTCTATTGTTCCCCCTTAGTTTTTCCCGGGCTACTGAAATAAGACTATAACATATTACGCAGGATGTCAAAGGTTGTCAGCAGCATAAGCAACGTGTCACTTAACCAGCTTGTTAATATGGATATGGAGTCATGTGAAAAATGGGTCAAATCCACCTTATCTTACTCACACCTCCCTCTTCACTCACAACTCTCCCCTTGCATCTCATCAGGCAAAACCAGAAGCCTATATAGAAAACTATATGCTCGCACCAGCAAGTACAAAAACTGAACCATACCCTACTTAGCTCGTGTTCTGTGCGATAAAGAAAGCATTAGGCGTGACACCCATAATTCATTAAATAGTCAGTACTACAACTGGACCTCGTCTTTCCAACTCATATCATTTATGGCTACAACATTTTCTTTCTTTCTTTTCCTTTTCTCTCTCTTTCTTGTTTTCTGTTATGTGCTGCTTTGTTTCTTTCTCTCGCTTACGCCAGTAAATATGACAGCACCTACTTTTCTAACACCTTCAAACACTGTTCAACTTTGGCTTTGCTACCGACATGTCAATATGTTATTGTCATAATGAAC